TGTGGTCTTTGATAAATAGGATCAAACTAGATAGATATACCCTATTAATCTCAAAATGGGAAATTACACTACTGGTAAAAATGGTTCTGTGAACTTTACGGACTTAAACAATGTACCAGGGCAGAACGTAGCTGCCTATTTACTGGATATATAAATGTATGAAATATGTAAGGAAATATAAAAAGAACTAAAATGGTGACAGGATCATGTGAATGGTTACAGTGACAGATGACACAATAGAACCTGCATGTATTCTGTACAAAATTCTAAATAGGAAAGGAAGTGTATGATATTGAATGTGTTTATTCTGTAAAAAATTATGCACTCTAACAATTCTTGTTTCCTCTGCAGGCCAGTATGGTGCTCCTCCTCAGGGCATGCCAGGCTACATGCCTGGAGGGATGCCTCCTTATGGGCAGGGTCCTCCTATGGTGCCCCCATACCAGGGAGGGCCTCCCATGGGCATGAGACCACCCGTCATGTCTCCAGCCGGACGCTACTGAAGCCGCATTGCAGCCACTGCATTAGGTTTGAGGTTAACACCTTTCTCTCATCATTGTGCTTTTTCAAACCTAGCAGCAAGAAAAGAACAGTAGAAGCGGTGGCAGTGACGACAAACGATATTTGTTACAACACATGGACATTTAATGTAACATCTCTATTGAGAAAAAAAAACAGCCAGAGACCACACACGTTCCTGACAAATATTTGTGATGAATTGATTACATGTGAGGATATATATATATAAACCTATATATATATCTTCCCATAGGTTTGACTCAGGTTTGTAAAAGTGAAGTGTGGTAAATTGATTCATGTTTCTTTTGAAGCTGCTGGAGTTACATGAACGTACCAACCCCTTACAAAGGCAAGTTTCTCCTGTAAACATTTGATCCATTCTGTTGTTTATTTTATTGGTAGAGTGATTGAGGCCCTCACAGCACACGTAGGTGCTGTTGGACTTGCGTCCCCAACTTTGGTTGGTGAGGGTCTCAATAGTGATGATTCCAGCTGAGTAGGGTTACAAATTCATGACTCATCAGTCTCTAGCTTTATTATTTCAGGTTTGTTTTTAATATTTCCTGGTTTAAAGGGTTCCTGTATGCATCCTTTGTAATGTTTTATGAGTCTGTAATAAAATCCACCTTGAAATCCAATGCTGGTGTGTCCTGACGTACATGGAGGTGAGTGGCAAAGGTTTGTACCATCGTTGATTTAGTTGACTTTTTATGGCTGTGATAAATTTGTGGTTTCATCCAAACAGAAATTATCTGTATCAAAGTATGCCGTTTTTTCTTTTTTGGAGTTGAGCTTTGTTCCACTAGACATAGTTGAGAACACTTAAAAAAAACACTGTAAGATTCAGGTTAAGTTTTTCTGTAATTGTTGTTTTTTTGACAGAAAAATCAAATGAAAAGTAATTTAACTTCTGCTTTGATTTTTCTATATTCACAAAGTTTATATTATTACAACCATAGTGTTTTACTTAATCAGATGATTAAGACAGCCATGCCATTTAAATCAGGCGAATCAAATCCCTTTTTGGATTTAAATCAGGCGAATCAAATCCCTTTTTTCTATTTATTATATATGAACAGTCATTTATGTTTAACATATTTGGGGAGAAATAAGTGTAGGGGTACTTTCAACATGAACTTCAATATTAAGTCTTGATAACAAATCTTACATAGTGTAACTCCAGTTATTGTAATGTACCATATTTATGGCCAACCTAACCCTTATGATGTCAACCTTTGGTCTGAAATACTGAATCTCATCCCTTAAGGTATTTAGAAGACGTAAACATGTTTGTGATCTGTGATTAATAAATCAAGTTCTAAATTCTGCATATGTTATTGAATATTGATAAAAATCTTGTAACCTGTACAGTTGCTATGTTTTTTTTTTACATGTTAAAAAATGTCCTGCAGCAGATAAATATTAAAATACATTAACTTGGCAATAAAGCAAATTAAAAACTTCCAACTGTACCTGCTGAAGTAAAACATTTTTGTGCTGTTCACTACAGTGTGGTTAAAAACCAGTTTAGCATATTGTCTCAATTGGCTTAAAGTAAAGATATCCTTTAAAAAAGCATTTTATAAAATACTACCTTTCCCCTCCTGTAAGACGGTGTATAGAGTTAAACATTGTTAACCTCCGATTTTTAAAATTGACTTCAGGTCATATGACAAGAACATATTGAAAGTACTGACATTACACAGTCGCTGAGCAACATTTTGTTGATAGTGCTGCCATTTAACCCTCATTATGTCCTCACCTTTGGTCCTCTGGGCTCTGAAAAGACCCCACCCCGTTTTGCCAATTGTCAAATTCTCAATTTTGTTAAATTTCTAGTCTAGATTCAGATAAACCCATTGTCAGGAAAAAAAATTGAAAAATGAAATTTGCAGTTGAGATGACCTCAAGGACAACACAAGGGTTAAATAGCCGACTTCTTCAGTTTTCTTGTTAACATTGCTATTTTATCCCATTGCAATGTACATGTTAAAAAACCCCTGGTGGACCAACATGTTTTTAGTCCTTAAGTATGACACAAGTTCTACCTCTGCCCACTTCACTTACTGCTGTGTATTTTGTTTTTGTTGTTTGTAGCACATCCATATCAGCTTTTCAGCCTTTAAACTCTCAGCTGCCAGGACAGGTCAGTTAATCTCAGTAAGTACCCGATGTTTATTACAGTGTGGGTTTGTCCTGTTACAATTCATGCAAGCACTTGTATGTTACTCACTGCAGTGTAAACACAGCATGCATTTAACCATGGAGAGGAGGGCTGGTGACTTGAACTGTCAAAAACTGTTGAAACCCACTGTTAATTTTTTTTTCTTAGCCAAGTGTCACCAAGATTTCACTCAATGCTATATAAATGTTGGATGTGTACAGATTGTCCTGTCTGCTACATAGACTCTGTATAAGAAATGGGCGTGGCCATCCAAGTGCAGAGTATCATTATAATGGTGTGAAATCCAGATGATTGAAGGTGCTCTGATTGGATGTGGAGACGCCACCTGCAAACAGACAGCTATTTGACGTCACGGTCAGTCACGTTGTCAACTCACCTGCTGTGATCTCTGCTTACACCAACTGCTACTTTAAAGTGATTATCTTGGGCAGCTGTGGGGCAACATCCATTTCTTGTACACCGTCTATGGCCTGATATGAAATGGACAAACGCGGTAAGTGATCAGTAATTGGTTTAAAGTGTGTGTGTGTGTACATGTGAATCTTTAATGTCACTCTCAGCTTGTCACAAATGGGAAAAAACAGAACCATTCCAAACTAGTATCTTGTTGATGAGCACAGATTTCTCTTTTTGGCTTATGATTGGCAAAAAAAAAAGAGGCAGGAATTTAATGGCGCCTAAAGCAAAAGATGTCGATCCATAACGTGTATAGAAAAACTACAGGTGACCTACTGATCACGACAAATATTAGTTGGTGTGTCCCCCCTCGCCCCCCATAAATCTCAATACATACTTTTAAAAAAGGAACCCTTAAAGCTGTGGGAAAACAAGGTTCAAGTCAAAAAATGTTTAACTTTGTTTGGTTATTGTGTTTTTCCCTTACTCTAAGTACCTGACCTGCAAATTCTCACAAGTTTCTTTAGATGAGTAGAAACTGATTAAAGTAATTGTACAAATCAGAAAGTGCCTTAGTGGTGGTGGGAGTTGGGGTACTTATACAGTATTTCTTATTATAGCTAACTAAAGAGAGGTCATGACAGGCCTTCTGTCCTGCAGGTTTAAAAAAAATTTTAAAAAATTTAAATTAGTTGTCTATATGGATAGCAGTTATTGCCAGTAAAATTGAACAGTAGGTGGCAGTAGACGATGCACCCGAAGACCAAAGGTGGATATGTTGAAGTAGGGAAGGTTCACTATCACATCATGCTTGTTTCAGTAGTACTTTGTCCTTATACACCGTACGAAGTTAAATATACATTTCATAACTTCTCTAGCAAATACAAAAGTTTTATTTGCCACCTATGAGATCAAGTCATCTTAGTCCGCAGTAGTATATTTCTTATACTGTAATAATTGTTATTATAAATGCTTATGTGCCAAATAATATGTAAAACGAATTTATTGCACCCCCTGCAGGGCATGATTGTCGAGCTTAGCGATAAAGATTGCTGCATGCTTAAGCTGCGTACACATTTTCAGCCATATCAGCATTTATGTATTAAAAGAAACATTATTGAGGCTGTGTTTTAAATAAACTCCGTGTTTGTATACAATTACTTTCGTGTCTCTTTTTGACCTTATTTAAAATATGTTTAGTCCAACAATCGTGCTGTAAGTTTAGATACAGGTCTGCCGTCTAGTGTGGTGTTTACACGAAAAATCCATTTTAGAGAAACAAATTACTTGATTGGAAAATGGTTATTTTACTAACAAGAAGCTGGTTTGTGATGTGACTGCTCAGGTCAGTTCGTTGGTTTAGCTTCCTGATTTTGTTATTGTAGTTAATAGTTAGTGACTATGAACCTGCATGCTTCTCTTCAAATTATCGTGTTTTGCAAACTTTTTTTTGGGAAATATTTTAAAAAAAAACGTGTTCAGATGTTGAAAAAGTTTGATGAATATCTTTGGGGAAAAAAATGCAAAATTTTATCTTTTCTGCATATTTCTCATCAAAATATGGTGTTTTGAAAAAATATTTAGAAAAAAATTGAGATGTTGGAAAATTTTGATGAAAGAATAATATTTTTTAGGACAATCTTGTATTTAAAGGCATTTCTAGTCCTTTTTATTTTTTGCATTTTTCATGATAAAAAAGGCATGTTTTGGGTGATTTT